TCCAGGCATTCTCTGCACAGCAACCATTGAACCCTTGATAAAATCATATTCTTTTGCCTTTACAAATATGACTACAGTATGAGGCTAACACCTGCTTGAGGCAGTGAAATTTTGTTTTCATGCCATTTCGATCCATGTAATCAAAAGGTTTTTCCAGTATCCTGTCTTAATTGAAAAATGTGGAATTACGACTTATCAGTCATAAATAAAGTGCGAACTTTTCACATCAATGCGTACTGATCTCTTCGAATGACTTTAAGAAATCGCTGGTTTCAAGGTAGCAGAAATCTGCTATCAATCTCTCTGTGAGATTTTTCTTTCTTAAACTTTTGAGCTAAACGTTACATGTGACACGGAAATTGTAGACAGAACAATAGAGTACCTTTAACTGAAGCAGACTAATGAACTTAGCAGAGCATATTTTTAACTGTGGAACTACTGGGGAAAGTTCCCCAGTAGGCCTAATGTCTTCCCCAGTATGGAGAGCCAAAATCACAGAATTTCCCTAGTAGTTTGGGCCCTGCCGTTTTTCACTTATCTCCATTATTTTTTAAAAAATCAACTTTTAAGCGAAATTATCTGTATTTCTTGACTTAGTACTCTCATGTATTTGATTTAGATTTATATTCTATTGCTTACGGTATCGCGCTCTTACGTCCTATCCTGTGAAAAAGGATGGCAGCATATATTTAATTATAACAAACTCAAATTTCGTTCCTTTTACGCAGGCTAGCTATAGCGTCATAGTACATAACTTTTATCAAAAGCATTGCATATAGCTCTACAGCGATGCTGTGGTAATTAAAATGTTTGCACATGCATATGGACATTCATTTTTTTTATGTTCAACGCTTCAATACACTGATACATGTTGACTGGCATCATCCCGTGACGCAGGGGTGTAGGGGTGTCCAGGTGTAGAGGCGCATGCGGTTAGAAGCCTAGAATTCTACCTGGTGGCTTGACTGATGAGCTAGCAAAGACTCAAAATTACAAAGACAAGATATACATTAACTACAAAAAATTTCATCGTGACAAAATTTCGAACAAATATTTTGACGAAATCTTCTTCGACTAAATTCAAATTGAGACGAAATTTTGTCACGACGAAACTTTTTGCAATTAAGATTCTTTTAGAATTTTCATAGAAAACCTATAACATGAGGTCAAGAATCAAATTTATGTATCCTTTTGATCTATTCAATGTCAATTACGTCATTTTACGTCATCATAATTGTCAGTTCTCGAACTAACTTCGTTTTCACCATCATTTGATATAAAAAGGTTCCAACTCAGACGCTCCCCCCCCCCCCTAATGACAAATTATCTCTTTGAGAAAGGGCTTTTTCTTGGGTCCAAAAGGGTGTGGACCCCAATTTTCCGCGCGCTTTGCCAAACCTTCTCTCCCTCAGTCTTATCACCCTGGCTACGCTTCTGTTCTAACTGTCTCTTGTCGCCAGTTTCAAAGGATTCCAGCTCTATCTTTTTATACTCAACTGTACTATTTTTTGTATTCGTTAAAGGCATTTGTACTTTTCAACAAAAATTTTGAATTCTACAGGAAGCTCAATTTCGAGACCAACTTTTCCTGTTGTAGATTCTCGTGCTTTTCGAATCTCTACTTATGTTCACACTAATACTTTTAATTATACTCTGTTTATGAACGTTCATGCCTTTTATATAGAGGATAGAGAATCTTGCTAAAAGCATATCTTTTGATTCCATCTTCGTATAAACTGAGGAAATATTCCGCTTAAATGTGGTTTTCCTGACGTGCTGTCTGGGGTGATGACCGAAACTCCGAACGGGTACCTATGGAATTGAATATAAAGCAACCTTTATGGTTTTGCCTCTTAAGATCTTGATAATATGTTGCTATTTTTGTGTTAAAAATCGACGACGTTATTTTGTCACGACGAAATTCTGAAAAGTTGTCCAAAATTTTTTACGACGAAGTTTATCCGCCGAAAATTTATCTGACGAAATTTTTTGCTTTTAATTTACACAAATTGGTGTATGTTTTTTATAGAATACTTAAGCTTTACGTCTGACAGTTTTAAAAGCATAAAACATCCGGACATAGATCGAAAACTCTACGCTAAGAAATATATATACCAAGTGTAGTCCTTAGGTGAAAAATAACTTCTTCAGTCTTCAGTCTTTGGGCCTTTTTTGCAAATTTTCCCCAGTAGTGAAAATTTCTTAAAAAGGACTGGTATTTCGAAAACCAATACGCCTGTAATGCTTGCAGTCAATGACTTCCATAATGCAAACTCTTAAATTGCTTCATACTAGTGTTTATCAGTGTCACACTAACAGTAAAAAAGGTATTATTATTACTATTATTATTATTATGTATACGAACTCTACTACAGCAGCAATACATCCATTATTCCTTGAAACTTCTGCTTCTTTTGTTTCACATTCTGTAAGTGCATTTGAAAAGGTAATCAAAGTGGGGACCAGATGACCAGGTGTCTGTCCTTGATATTTACATGGCATTATAACTGAGAATGTTGTTATTTTTCTTAGAATAAAAATAAATTTAGCAAATTGCAGAGCAACTTTTGAAAAGCAAAGTTTGAGAATTTTGCTTGCAATGCCAACACTTAAAATAACTACAAGAAACACTTTGATGTCCATTTTTCATAAAAAAACATGCAATTCTAAAAGCGCACATAACAAACTGTTGAGCACATGCTGTTTTTGCAACACATGCTGTTGAACATTAGCAATCTTAATCTGATTTGAATGCGCATTTTAAGATAAGAGAAACTTAGCTGCAGAACCATGCAAGTTTTTTTGCAACAAAGCAGGCCCCCCAGAGGAATCTCGCAAGTATATGGTAACAGATTTGATAAGATGGATTTGAGTTTTGCCATCACGCAGGTAAGAAACCTGAATATTTATTTTGAAAAGCTACAAATGGGCCTTATTGCTTGAGACATGGACATCGAGAGGATCTTAACCACATTCAACAAAAGAAACTGCATTTGTGAAGGAAAATATTTGGTGACTACAGCTGCGCAGCCTGCTGTTAACGGTGTTGAAGAGAGCCCCCTCAACTCCTCAACGGTGTTGAAGAGAGCAAATTTGTCCAAATGGTGATGCGAACCCAGAACATGGCAACCTTTCGTGGAAGCCCCCCCCCTCCCTTAATCCTCAAATTGATGCTATCAACATACCCTGCCGAATATTGAAAATCTTGAAAAAAGAACAAATTTTTTGAATTCTGCGTATAAAAATTATATTTGACATGAATTTTTGAGCGATTCTGCAAACTTTGAACTTTTAGGCAAAATTTGCTGTGTGGGACCACTGGTGGTCACATTTGACCCCGATTTAAACCTCCAGATATTGAAAATCTTTGAAAAAAGAACAAAATTTGAAATCTGCGTATAAAAATTATGTTTGATATGCATTTTGGAGGGATTCCGTAAACTTTGAATTTTCAGTCAAAATTTGGTGTGAAGGACCACTGGTAGCCACAATTATATTTGACATGAACTTTGGAGGCATTAGCTACAAAATATTAAATAAGGACGGGCCATTCTCAAAGAAAACTTGTGGAACCCGAACCTCTTTTTATCTAAAAATAGTCCCCTGCCCGTTTAAAATACCTTCCCCGACTATTTTAGTTCTCAGAGCATGAATCCAATCTCTTCTTCACGCGAATACTTAGTAAAAAGTCTCGAAATTCTCTCCCTGAGGCTGACATGACGTCAGAATTTGTCGGCCCCTTTGAAAAAAATGATGGTAGAGATTTTATTTTGACCCGGAGTCAAAATAAAATCCTCAACGATGGATCTTTATCGCCAATTAAGTGGATTGAAACGACAGATAGCATCAAACTTTTTTCAGCAATTTAGCCTTTTACACGATCGTTGTCATCCATCGCGGTCCAATTTCGAAAAAAAATTTAAGGAAAAACGATCGTAAGAAAGCAAAGTTAATGACGAATCATAACGTTTTGAAGGTGAATTAGCAGGGAGACATTTTGTCACCTGTGGTGTTCCCAGGTTACGATTTCAGATCTTTTTTTTTCTTTTTTCCTACACATCAGCCGCAAAAATAGCACCAGATGTCGCATTTCACGTGTAGCGTTTCACGTCTGTATTTGCCCTTCTCAGTTTCCCGCTGTAACTATCTATCTAAGTACCATGTTGTCTCGTAGGACGTTGGTGACCATGGATTTCCGCAAATCTCTATCTTAGCAGGCTACCTTTTTCACTGAAAAACTTTCCTGCTCCTCAACAGGCACTTAGGCCTGCATCCATTTACTAAGACTCGTCAGGTAATTCAGACGCGGTCTCCCTCTCTCGCTTTTTCCTTCAGTCTTGCCTGTTGTTATTATCTCTTTCAGTTGTTTTTTTCTCATAAGATGTGTCAAAATTCTGGCGGCTTTTTTCAGATGAGCTTGATAAGACACCTTTGTTCTCCAGCTCTCAAGCAGTATAGTCATGCTTGATTGGCAGCCCAGCACACTAACGTGGGTATGTTCAAACTGTACGCCAAATGTCACTACAGATAACAACTACAGACTGCTGTCCTTTAAGTAAAATGAAGAAAGTCACCAAGCCTTTTGCTTCAACATCGCATTAATAATTCAGAAATGTTGCTGGATGCAAATCAGGACAGATTATCATCTATACTTCCAAAACCTGAACACCTGAATTTTTCGCTACAACCAACAACGAGTTTGCTCCTCATTGCTAATGGATTATGAAAATAAAAACCGTAGAGAAAATTGCATCAGTCTTTAGTGGATCAGATGTTTTCATTTGCAAACATTGTCATATGGTTGACTAAACTTAGGAACTATCCTACCAGTAAATCTTGCTGAAGAGTTTTTAAAAGTGTTTGGCACAATTCCTACAAAAATTACATTCATTAAATCTCCAAAATATTACCTCAATATTATTATATTGGTGCGAAGTCTTGGTTTTGGAAAAATCAATATATTTTAGGCTGACAAAATATGAACAGTTCTTGAAATTCTTTTTAGATTGTAGGGACTATTTGCTCGGGACCCAAGCAGAGAAATGCAATTTCAAAAAACAGAACAATTGCCTTAAAGATCAGAAGCCACTACTCTTTCTTAAGGACGGACAACTGAGTATACGAAAAACGGTTACTTGTAACAGGTGAAACAGGTGACCAAAACGCTTTTTGTGTCGTTCTGAAGTGTTCATTGTTTGAACAAACAAAGAATTTGAAATTAAAAAACGATTTGCTGAACAGGAGCGTAAATCAACTAAAAAGTTGCGCAAAATGATTTAAAGAATGGTTTATGTATTATTTTCTGTGTCTTTTGCATCGTGATGTGGAACATTATATGAAACTATTGTGAAGCAGATGCTTATGTTGTGAAGAAGAAACATCTGGTTAATCCGTTCACTAGTGCCGAGACCTCGAAGTCACTACATGTATTTATGACCATTGGCACTTCAATAAATTTTCAAGAGAATTATTCTCAAAAATTACCAGAACTAAGTAAAGACAAATATTAAGAGCAGATCACCATAGTGAACTTTAGGAACATAATAAGATCACCTCAACAACCATGATAAGATTTCGGATCCGCTGGGCGATCCGCTGGAACATAATAAGATTTCGGATCCGCTGGGCGGGGTAGGGGTATAGGAACATAATAAGATCACCTCAGTATGCGTGACGATTTTACAAACAAACGATTATCAAATCATTAGACTTTCACAACAAAAACAGAAACTACAACTTCTTTGTCCAAGGGTCAATTTAACCTCTTAACACACCATAAAAAAGATGTTATCGAAAAAAGCCATTTATGCTAAACGAATTTTTACAAGAAACATGAATTAAGCTCTCTATTTTCACCCCCCCCCCCCCCCCCCCCTAAAGGGCATACACAAACATACAAATAAATTGTGCAGCTTGCATTTCAAACCATTTTAAAATCCGATTCAAACAACTCTTACCTTAGCTTTTGCTAGATATAAGAGATTTTTAGTAAAGTTACATATGTAATAACACATGCTTACCTATATTTGTACATTATAGAAACAACTCTACTGAAACACCTCTGCTTGTAGAAATTATACACGGACTATGAACTGCCTTTCATTTGATAATGAGTCAGAAATAGCCTGTATGTAGAACTGGCGAACAAGCGAAAAATTCAACTTCAAAAATGTTCATATGTTATATCTGTAACGGTCACCATGCAATGTTTACATAAACCACGTCAAATTAGCTACAAGAGGTTATATATCATCAGAAGAGATCCACTAGAACGTAAATAAATTGAAAACGCATATTTAAACTAGTTAGTATTGGTGATCCACGACCTTTTTCTCAAATTCAAAAGGCAGAGCTTACTCCTTATGTACACATACAATTTGAATGTTAACAAAGCTTCTGCAACTGACACGAAATCTCGAACTTACACGAAAAGCTGCACTTGAACAGAATTTTGTAAATAAATAACCGAAAAACGGGAAAATTTTTAGCTGAAACACTTTAAAAACTGTATGTTAAGTCATGCATTATCAAAAGCTAGCCAACACACATTTTACGCGCATATGACACCCAGATTTTCATCTTGAACAACACCCCTTCCCCTTCTTTTGTTCAGGAGTTGAAGCTAGGGCCTGGCTTATAAAACTACAGTATAACTATTGGTTCCCTGCTTTGGGATGTGGCAGAGATCTTCGCTTGCGAAACGGGAATGCTTGTAAACAGATGAATGATAACTGCTTAGATATGGGTTAATGGTCTGACGAGAAAAGCTGGGTAGGAGGTCATGGCTTTCAGTCAGATTCTGCTCCAGTATACCAGCATTATAGAAAGCTAGCTCTTTGTGAAGTGCACCGAGGACACCACCTTTACCCACCTCCCCTCCCAAAGGACATCACCTTTATCCCCCCTTCCCAACTAATCATAGCATGCCTAGCAGCAAAGAAACCGAATACAAAGAGCATGTATCAGGAGGGGAATTTTTTGTTGACGCTGTGTCTTAATTGTTATTTCTTATTTTTATCACTTCATAGAGTTTTACCAGGGATGTAATTAATTCAAACTTCAATAAACAATTAAAAAAGGCATTATTCATGTTTCCTTATGCTTCCGAAACAAAAAGATGACGAATGTTGGAAATCAGTGCTCTTACTTCTGTACGAATTTTTTGCACCCTTATACAGTATATTATTGGATTTAGCGAGCTGTTAAACAATATCAGGAAATTAGTCCAATCGTATGCGATTGCTAGTGAGTTGCCTCGTACTTTGGTTCTGCTCACAACTACGTTCAATATTGTGACCGGCAAGTAGCAGGCCATGAAAACTGAAAGAAGAAGCGACACTGTCAGAGACCTTGACTGTTGCTTTTTCAAAACCTGCTCTTGTGTAGCTTTGACGTTATCGAGAGACTTCTCATTACTCGCCTTTTGCATTGGTTCAGGCGGACTTTCGTCGACGTTGTGGTAAGATATTCGTATTATGTCGTCAGGACCCGAAGTATCCCATCTGATTGGTTTAAGGCATGTCTCTAGCTTGAACTTGTGAAGTTTTGCTGTGCCGGAGCCATCGTCTTTAACTGCAATAGATACTGCTATCGTAGCAGCCCGTTTTCGATGCCCTCTTATAGCTCTGTATATTATGATATAGGAGATAACTATCAATATCATGGATACAACCAGAAGTAGAGTCATTACGAGTTGCAATACGCTACTTGGTATTACAGCAGTTTCTTTGAGAATAACAAGCAGTGCAAGTGTAAGCCAAGAGGTAATTATTACTCCTAGATATTTGTTGAAGAGCCTTTCGCTATCATATCTGTATGGTAACATTGTGGCAAAGCAGCGGTCCAAAGCAAAGAAACAGACATTTAAAAACGAGACACCAACGCCGAGTATTGCAACAAGCGCGTTTACAGCACGAAGAAAACAAGAGTCAATGTTGAGAAGTTCGTACACTTTATGAATAACGGCTGTAGGTTGTATAACGAGGCCAACTAGAAGGTCACTTGCAGCCATGCTTGTAAGTATAAGGTTAGGAGCAGTCCGTAAATGAGGCTTATGGATCAACGCTATAAGTATCAGTAAATTGATTGGAACAGCAAACAAACAAGAGGCTATATGTAGAATAATGACAACGACCTTTGACGCTATAGCGAAATTTGCTTGAGATTTGATATATGGCTGTACGGTATCACATAATAGAGTTGCATTCGCTGACGAGTTTATCATCTCGCTCTCTGATTGCCGAATTTATTAAACTATCTCGTTTATTGCCTGAAAATACTCACAATGCAATGCACCATGATTTCATTGTATGGTAACCATGCAAATAGCTACATATACGCAGTCGGTATATCTTTGAATGAATTGGTACGGCACAGACTCCAAGTGATTAAAAGCGTAGAACGAAATTGCATTTATATGGTAGGATTAGGCTACTTTGTTAATATTTAATGTCCTAACAGTGTATGTTGATTCCTTTTTGCAAGTTCCAGACAATTATAAACAACGAATTTCATTCTCACCAAATTAGGGCTATGAATGAAACTGAGCTAGTATGAAGATCGTTCAGCGAACATTGACGCAATTAATTCGCCCATATTCTGCTGGCAGGTTTTGGAGAAGTCCCAAATACTCAATAAACAGAGGACATACAGGTCAATCAATCAACCATTACAATCGTTACATTCGATCATCAAAACGAATCAACCAATCAATCATCAAAATCTTTGTTTTTCTTCTTTATGTTCGGTTATCAAAGCCCGTTGCAAAAAATCAGCTGGGTGTTTACAAACATGCAAAACCCTTTTTGGTGTCTCGCCTGGGCTAATTGTGAATAGACACAGGGTTGTTATGAAAATTCATGCCACCTGTGTTTTCGTTCATATACTGTAGTTTGTAGAAATGTGTTATAAATGTGTTACGGGCATAAAAAAATCATCAAAATCAATCAATCAATCGATCACTTCAATCATTATAATCAGTCTCTTTTACAATCAACCATTACAACCACTCCACTTCAAACTGTCAGTCAATCAGTCATAACACTTCAACCAATCATTCAATCAGTCACTACAATCAATCAAGTGCTAACCCTTCAAGCCGTTAGGGCTATGAATATAGCAGTGGCGTAGCGTGAGTTGCAGAAGCGGGTATGCGGCGAGGGGTCTGGGGCTTGCTGAAGGCCCCAGTGGGGCCAAGGTGCAACGCTCTCGTGGGAGACCAGGGGGCAAAGCCTCCAGAAGTTATAGCTTTTTAAAAACACCTGATAGTTATAATAGCGCTTTCTCTATAATCCTTTCATGCCCAAACAGAACATCTACAGCACACTTCGAAATGAAAATTATAGACCACTTTTTCATACTTTTATAAGGTTTTTTAATAGGTCACAATTAGAAAATAAAAGATTTGGTCAAAAGATATCCCCCTAAACCTCTATGTTTAAATGAATTACCCCGTACTATCCCTATTTGAGTACCCTCCCTATTTGCGTACCCTCACTAATTGAGTACCCTCACGTGGGACTCAAGCTAACATGAAAAAAAAACATTTATGCAATCATCTTATACTCCTCTATCTCTATAACCCTATAATCAATATCTTCTACTTGTTTGAATCCACATTTCGAAGACTTACGCTGTGATTCAATTCAACTAGGGCATGCGGATCGGCAACCGCATGCCCTGGCTCTTTGTTGATCAGTATCTGGTCACGTGACTTGGCTTGCTGAACAAGATAACACGAAGCAAGCTGAGATCAGTTACTTCCCTTTCAAAGCTCTATCCTCAACGCTGTGAGTAAAAAATTGGAGCAATCTTTCATTAGCATGATAGATTATTCATTGATACAACCTTCTATCCTATATTTTTGCAAAATTTTACACTTAAATAGGGAAAAATCAATCGTTTTATATCCGGGAATGCGGTCAGAATTCCGCATTCCCTGAAATGAGAAGTGCTATAAACAAAGGTTGCTAGCCAAAGTCAATAAAGGGATCTTTGGAAACAGGGGCACGAAGCTTAGTAAATTACTTCCAAGGTAAAATCTAAGGTGGATTCATTGAACTCCGATGGGTGTGTCAAGGGTGCGACAGTGCAAATTTCAAATAATCGTCAAAGCAACTGTTTAGACGATAGAAACTGTTTTCTGTTTCGAAAAAAGCGCTTTTAGAAATATTTTTTTTGGTTTAGATTTTGCAGGGCATGCGGTGCATTACCAGCTTCCCTTGACGCTACGCCACTGGAAAAAAGTGAACAGCTCGTAAAAAAGTCAGAATACAGTATGTAGAATTACGATAATAATTTTATCACAACAAAATTAGAGTCTACTGTCTAAGAGTGTTCTATATCCATTTTTCTTGTACTTCCCTTAAACCGATTCATGTTTGGATCCCCCGTATAATTTTGTCCGGTTTACTTCATAGCTATGGGCGAAAAGTACCTTAAAGAATTTTCTCCATTCTGAACGTTTCTTTGTATAATTTGGAGCCAAACTTTATTAACTTGCATTGCATTACTATGGTAAGTTTAAATAATATTTCAACGTCAACAAATTCATATTTGTTCGTAATGTTATGGTTATTGATAAAGCAGCATTCTTTGAGGTTCTTCTTTTTCATGATCAGTGCGACGTCAGGTGATTGTTTAGCCTACTTCGTTTCACTGGGCCAAAACAAGCAAGTTTCTTGACGCAGTTAGGTCGATGGATGTAAACAGCGTTTAGACAAAGGCCGAGAGGAAATTTAGAAATATTTTAAGCAATAAACTCTTTTTTTTTAAGAACAATTTTACAAAAACAGGAGCCTCAAATTATATCAAAGTTAAGAGCAAATTTAAAGCAAGCTAATGCTGGAAACTATATAATGCAATTTTGAACAAAATTTTATTCCAAAAACGAGGATTTTTAGCCATGCGTGGGTGCTTTTTCGGAGAATATTCAAACTTGTCCGCAAATGGAGATTGTCTCATTCATTTTGTTGGCAAATGAGACCTTATAACATTTTCAGAGCGGAAAATCTAGCAATCGCACTGCTAAAACCCTATTAAATTTAAGAACAAATTAAGAATAATCCAGCCTCAAATTTTCGAAAAAATTAAGAACAGCCAGCCTGAACTTGAATTTAATGGTTCTTATAAGAAGAAAAGAGTGTAAAAAAAGCAATCCATTTGTTCTAATGGCTATTTCAAAAAGCAACCTGACCGACGGCCCAGGTCTTAAAGCTGCCTAAAAATTCCCTTCGCTTCTAAAAGTTCAAACACTCTTTTATAAGAATATTCTTTTATAAAGACTACACTTACGTGACAAAAGTATTAGGACGATGAATAAAAAATGGCGGCTCCAAAACTAGCATTCGAACATTGATTGAACAAATCTTGCTGTTTTGGCGGGATTCTAGAAATGGCGTCAGCAAAAATGCCATTCCTAACAAATTCAATTTATTTCCTACCTTTCTATAATAGAAAAGTGACAAAAAGGTCAGGGAGAAATGGAAAGTATCAAGGTTTTAGTTTCAATGCCAAAAACACATAAACGACCAGAAAGAGAATGAAAAGTAAAAAAAAATTGCGTCTAGCGAGTCATTTGTTTGCTGAAACTACAAGAAGTTTGGTTGCAGCAAGTCTACAACACATGTTGTTTACAAGAACAAGAACAAAAAACGAAAAAATTGGTGATAACACATACGTATATCAATTAATTTCGGCTTGCGTTCATGTGCATTTTCTCTTACTGCACCTGTCTTGGCAACCCAGTATCACTTATCTCACAGCTACACGCAGCTGAGCGATTTTTGCACTTAATTGATATATATGACAGGTACTGTCTGATCGGAGCTTCTAGTTGTTCTTTGCTGCACTTTTGTTATTGACGCAATCGTGCAAACCAACAGCTATTTTATATAAAATTCATCAAAAATATTTTCGGCGCAAAACTTAAAACTGGCTTTAAAAAGATAGATAATTTGAGTCATACTGAAGCTTTTCGTCTGACACTCTTCAGTTCAGAGTATAAAACGTCAGAACATAGATTGAAAACTCTAGGCAATGAAATATATACCCAGTTGTGGATCGAGATAGGCCAATCAGAAAACGCAAGCACGTGACTGTTGAGATTGCCCAATCAGTGCTCCTTGCCTATTGAACATGTTACCAATAGCGTCAGTCCTAAGGTGAAAACGAACTCCTCCTGTCTACACAATAGCGGTTTTTCATGTCAATGTAGATAGAAAATGTAAATAGGTTTCTGAATCGGTGGGATTTATTATCGTTGAATCAGGGTAACCGAAAATTAATCCCAGCGAGTTGTTTCAAATCCAAATTGTTTCTTACCAACGAAACTTTCAAACGCCAGAAAAATGTGTCCTTGATATTGTTTGAGTATTATGGACATCCAATAAATATCAACTTTGTGGTTCTCCTTCGTCAACAACAAATAACATATCCAGCTCATCTTCACTTTCTTCTCTTCGCCCTCTACATCCAAGAAATTTGATTTCTTTATTGGCTTTACTGGCTCGTCAGAATTTATCTCAATTTTTTTCTAATGTTTCAACAGTCTCAATTTGGACGCCTTAATTTTTAGCTCGCAATCAACCAGAATTTCTAATCCTTTTATTGTGATTGGCGAGCGAAAATACTGCGAACTATAAACGCTTCCAATTAATTTGGCTCCATGGATTATGACAAATGAAATAAAAAAGACCTCCAAATAAGAATTTATCACATTCTCTGAAACAATGAAACAATCAAGAAAACAAAGTAAAACAAGATGTTTCCGAACCTACATTGCGCATGCGCTGTTTATGTTTCTACGCATGCGTATTTCAATTAAACTCAAATAAGAAACTTACTTGACCTATAGGTGATAATATTTGGTATTTTGTTGTAGTAAACTATTAAAATAGATTTTACTCTTTCAACTCAGAATTTCTGCTGAAAAGGGCAAATTTAAGTAGTAGGCCAAAACAAACTTTCCAGTCAATTTAACTATAGAAAAGACCAAAATTGGAAAATTTGGTTGAAAATAATATTTTTTTGAAGTATTCGATGGAATTTTGGCCAGTCTTTACGGAATTGAAACTAGATATACAATTCGCGAGTAGTTTTCACTTTGTCATGGGAAAAACGCAGGTCTAATGCGATCGAAGCGAGCAGAGAATCTTGGCAAACACACCCTTTAGATAAGCTTAAAATCAATTTCAGAATGATTTTTTTCAGTCGTTATCTTTCGTTTGAAATAGTTAAGCATTTCTTAGCCATACCTCTTTTACGTTTGATTCAATCAATTCTTTTAATTGGCTTCTTTACTTTATAAGGTTCCTCACAAATTCAAGCTCTAGGGAATTTGGTAGCCCTAGTTTCCTCTCTTTGTGACCCTGCATACGTGTGACGCAACACAAAGTTACGCGATGTGACAAGGCGCATCATAACGAGTCTAGTGTGAATTCAGCTTCAGCCATTCGTGGCAAAAAATTCAAACATCAAACCTTTTTGTTAATTTTGCTCACTCGCAAAGTATTTTTTTTAAAATTTCGCTAGTTGAGAAAATCTCCAAAAAGAGCCAGAAGACCATCTTGGGACTTTACTGGTAACATTTTTAGTAGGTAAGACAAGGTAATTGGCACTGATTGGGCAACGTCAACAGTCATGTACTCGCGTTTCTGATTGGCCTATCTTGATCCACAACTGGCGTAGAGTTTTCGATCTTTGTCCGGACGTTTCATAAACATTTTAATTACCACAGCATCGCTGTAGAGCCGCATGTTAATTACCGCATGCAATGCTTTTGATAAAAGTTATGTACTATGACGCTATAGCTAGCCTGCGTAAAAGGAACGAAATTTGAGTTTGTTATAATTAAATATATGCTGCCATCCTTCTTCACAGGATAGCAGGGGTGTTGCGACCGGGGTGTGTGGGGGTTTGGTGTCACAATAAAAAATGTCAGAAAAACCCACTTGGTGGAAAAAAGCTTTAGGTAGTCAGAGACCTTCATGTCATAAAATCAATAAAGGATGAAACAAAGGTAGTTGCTCTATTGGTTAAATATGATATTCCTTGATATGAATGAAGGTAGACAAACTAATCATTTGAAGATTTTTTGTTGGCACTACATCTAAAAACCCAGACCCTTTTTAGGTAAAATTGTGTCTTGTGTCCATTTCCCCTAAAGTTTCTCGGTAGAAGCGTCAACTGCAAATCACTATGAGCTCCAGATTTTTTTAAACATTCAAGAGGCATGCTAAGATGGAAAGAGGGATCTAAATTGACAATCAGCGCTGCTTGTTACCTAGCTTTAGAAGTTACTGACAACATGGTATTCTTCAAGACCACGGAGAACTTGTACCAGTTGCTTTTATCTGCTGTTCAATTTGTTTGAAAAAATAATTTTCAATAGGATTAGGAGGATCGCTGTAGTGAAATGTGCTTAAAAAAGTGTATTCTCCAGGGAACTAGAAGCATAAAAATTAAAAAAGTTCCTGCTCCTTCGGCGGCAACCATGGTGCCGCTTTTGGTAGTAACTATATCCTTTGCCCATCCCGATGTAGAGATTTGACAAAACTATTAGGGAAGTCTGTTATTAAAATGTTATATATAAAAATGAAAGTTGCGAATTTTATACAGAGTTAAAGATTGACAAAATGTATGGCAGAGGTTGTGACAGCAATTAAAAGTTTCAGACAAAAATTTTTTTAACCAGGTAAATTTGTAGTCCACATCCCCCCACCCAAACAAGGCTTGCCTCGCGACGGCCCTGCAGGATAGGATACCATAGACGATACAATATAAGTCTAATTCATAAATAAATATAGATCTTGATCAAATACATGACAGTACAAAGTCAAGAAATACAGATAATGCCATTTAAAAGTCGATTTAAAGAAAAAGGAGGTCAGTGGAAATCGGTATGCCCAAACTAATGAGAAAATTCTGTGACTTTGGCTCTCACTACAGGGGAAGACATTGGGCCTACTGGGAAATTTTTCTCAGTAGTTCCACTCTTAGAAATGCTCTGCACACCTTCCTTCCCCTTCTGTCCCCGCCCACTGAAGATGTGCATTGGCCTAAAACGTAGGATAAGTCAGCATTTTCTGCTCATTCCCAGCCCAGCCATGAAATCAAAGCGAATTTATGTCACATTGGATCGTCACATTCTATTCAGCTCAGGGGAGTGTCCGGGTCAAATTTGCCCAGAAAGCATTTCTAGTGGTAATAAACTCTTTGTTTTTAAACAGATTTTGAAGAGGGGGATTCACACCCCAAATAGCCACCAAAAATGCAAATAAGAAGCAGAAGTAATTTAATCATTGAGCAATTAATGTAGAGCAAATGATAAATTGAAATATATTTTCAGATAACTGTTTACTTACAAACTTGAAAGTCCTACGGGTTATGAGCATGCTAGAATAAGGGCCTAAGTGGGCCAGAATGATCCCCATTCGAAGACGTCGCGCCATCACTGCGTAGTTACGGTGCATACGAGCATTGAAGTAACACAATAATACAAAGGATGGACAGATTAGAGAAGCAATAAAGCGTGTCTCTTGAGAACAAATTTGCTTTTTTACGTCCGAAATTTATAAAATATATTTGTACTGTGAGGTGAGGCGCAGCCTAGGCACACAGCTTGCCCTAGGGTCTAGGGTTTCTTTGTCACGCGTTTGCTTTGTCATCAGTGTGTGTTCTCACTTTGCTTCATGTAAATTTCCTTAATTTCGCACGAAAATTTCCCCAGAATTCGGAAAAAATTCCTTGGATTTATGAAAACCTAGCCTGCTTGCAAACTTTACTTTCTGCACGCAGGCTATGAAAACCTGTCTTTGTGTAAAAGATATAGTCAGAACAACTTTGACCTCTTAAAAATCAGGGTTGCCAGGTGGTATGGGTACTAAGTAACCAAATCGTTTATAAAAATAGACCAAAGTACGACAAAATAGGCCAAATTTACCCACAACATTATGACATCATAATGCGCAGGCGCAGCAAAAAACAAGCTTAGTTTACAGTATATCCGTTGCCCTTTTCATCAGCAAACTCTATAAGCCAAACATATTGCACTTCCTAAGACTTCTTTTACTTCCTTGCACTGTAATATCTACCTTGCCAATTGGTCGACATAGATTAGAACCTCGAGAAAAATAAAGCATTATTCACTATTTATTGTAACTTCTTACAATTGTGTAGATCAATCTCTGCGATTATGCGTGTTGTTGATTACTGAAAAATTGCCAATTTTATTTCAAAATGGGTTTGAAAAAAGCAAACATTATGGGTCATACTAGAGCTTCTCATTTGATACTCTTCAGAGTTTAAAACGTTAGAACATAGATCGAAAACGTTTAAAGTTTTGTACCACCAAAAGATTGTTTGCAAATTATATTTAAATAAATTATCCGTTGGGCACCGACACAAGTTGAAAAAGGGGAGGGGGGAGCTAAGGGAAACTTTAACAGCCATGGCAGGAGATTTTGAAAAAAAGCTCTATTGTTTTGGAGGGAAGTGGGGGACATGGCCACTTGCCCCCCCCCCAATTCGTCGGAGGCCCAGTTATCAAAGGAAATACTCAAAAATTAAGTCAATCAAATGTTGAAAAAATAAGCAATAGCAATGACACGTCATTATATGAGAAATTCAGACACTGATCCATTTGGATTGAATCGATCTGACCCATTTGGACTAAATCAATGCCACCTCAAGTGTCTGTCTGGTTCATGGACATATTACCATTCATTTTATGATTTTATGGGATTTTAATCTCATTTTCGAACATTCCTTTAGGAGGCCAAAAATAGCCAAAATGAAGCAGGAGGCCAAAGATAAAATTTCGTAGCCAAACATTCTTAAAAAGGCCAGATTTCTCAAATTTGGCCTCCCAGTAGGCCAGTCTGCAACCCTGTAAAAAATGTCAATTATGCAACAGCAACAACGGCTTAGGAAACTATTCAACTCATCGTGTTTTCTACGAATTTACAACTTTGTTAATTTTAGGATAGAGACATATGAGCATATTGTGGAGAGTTATTAACTATGACTGAAGATAACAGTCATCGTGTTTTAAGCAGACTAAATAGCAAAAATTGGCTTAAAAATTTGAAAGTGGAACATCTCATAGCTGGAACTGCTGGTGGTGTTTCTGCGACTTTACTTCTGCACCCTCTCGACCTTATCAAGATTAGGTTTCAAGGTGAAGTATTTTGAAAAATTATCTTTATGGAAAATAGAGGTATTAATGAATTTTTTACCATGAAAAATTTTCATGCTTTTCAGCTCAAAAGGCTGCGATGTCCCATTTTCGAGTTTAGGCCCAGCTTTGCGTATTATGTAATGGATTGGTTGGATGGAGGCTGGCTAGGCATGGTGGAATGCCGCCAGACTGGCTTCCTGAAATGTGCGAAACTTTCCGACGAGATCTTAAAAGGAAAAGGCAAAATTATCTAGGCCAGATATTGCAAATTTCTGTTAGGGTAACACCAGGGTGGATTCCATGTAAGCCTCACTCTGACGGTACACCAAAGCCAAGCCAAATGTGTGCTAAAGGTTCACTGGAATAAAAGTCGAACAAAAAGCATAAAACCTAGGACAAGCTATTTATGCAGTGAGGATGATAGGCATGATATAAGTTTGGAGTCTTGCACCTTAAAAAATGTTTTCACAATAGTTTTCACCCCATGTTGTAATTAAGTTAGTATTGAGATTCATAAAAGTCACAGAAAGAAATTCATGCCACACAGCTGTGCTTTTTTAAATATATGAGTGCTCACCACATGCCAAAAGATGCTTATCTCATGCTAACGTCATGCCAAAACACGTAACTCCACACTCCAAAGATGTTCAGGATTTGCTACATGGAATGCACTCTGGGGATTACAACTTGGGTATGCCTCTAACATACTGTCCAATCCGAGTAGAATGGAGAATTTGTCAATTAGCAAAAAATATGGTCTCATTTCTCATTGGATTTGTGCAAGTGCAATGATCGCATCAAACAAAAAGGCCTGCCTTAATAGTGGCTTGGCAAATAAAAAAACAGAAATATGAGATGAAGGGGCATGAAAGTGATGGTTTATGGTGAGAAATTGCATTTGTCTTTCTAAGTACCTTTTGTTGAAAGAATGTCTAATGACTGGTTAGCTGTTTTGAGGAAAAAATTATGTCTTAAATTATTGAGTGTTCATAAAAGTAAGAGTTGTTCATCTTTAGGCATTGTTCATGTGGTATCATTATTAATAAGCTACAGCTGTCTGTTGTCAAAGGTCAAGGTATTCAGATTCAAATAGAAATGAATTATTTTAAATGTATCATTGAGTTTGCCTGCATCCTTTAAAAAGTTTTCCAGAACTTTCCCAGAATCCCTTCTCAAATCAGAAAACAATCTTTCAAATTTCTTTTCATTCAGAAGCTATTGTAATTGTGCAAATATTTTTTTGCCAAAAGATGTAATCACAAAAATCAGTAGCTCTGATCTTTGTTTTAGGAAAATATTTGCTTGGGCCCTTGGCTTCTGTGAGCTGCCATTTTAGGCATTGTTTCATTATCAAAAAATTATACCTTGCATTTTTTGAATTTTAAGATTTTGCCGAATTCTCACATTTCACTCAAGGATGATTGCTGCTTCCAATTCAGCTTGTAGGATACTTGTGGGTGGCCATGATGACATTATCTAGGTCTAAGAGTTTCAATATATAAATTTATAATTTCAGTAAGTTGTTTTGTATTGTGGCTTCTTGTAACTGTAAAGTACTAACCACAAACTGAACACATATTTATCCCAATAGAAAATAATTGCAATTTCAGAGCTATATGTTGAAAACAAATACCGTAGGGTTTTAAAAAGGGTTTCCTCATTTTACTAATGGAATTTGAAAATTTGGCAAGAACCTTCACAGCAAGCCAAGCTTACCTTGGACAGCAGAGAAATCCAATTGTTCCCAAACGTAACTGAATTATCAAAGCTGAAGCAACATGCAAAATAAGAAACTGAAACAGGATGTATTACTGATTACTTGATAATAAGCCAGCTAATATCCTCTTATAATTTTCTAAAACTTCCTCTGTGATGAAAGCTTTTATGTGCAGTTGATCTTTGGTTACAAAAGTTTCTATGATAACCAGATTAAATAGCAAAAAAATGTCATGTATCGGTATTGCTGGGTTCCAGCGTTCATCTTTAGTCAAATTTAAATACATTCTTGTTTGTTCTATTAGAATATGATTAGTTTTAATGTTATTGTATAGTATGGTAAGAAACATTGTATGTGATTCGAGAATCTCTCGTTGCTGTTACTTCATACACTCAATCAACACATTTTGCTTATGCTATTTACTGTTTCAGTAAATGATGGTCTGGTCACCAGGCCAACATATCGTGGGATCATAGATGCATTCAAATCAATTAAAGTTTCTGGAGGACTAAGAGGATTATACCAGGTACTTTGAGCATCATTTTCCATTATGACCCCTTCTTTACAATAATTTTTTTTATATTTTGCCATGGTACAAAATGCACACAAAATCAAGTATCTTTTTCTCAAGATGTTTTTCTCCAAAAATCAATAATGTTTATAATTTTCAAGTTTCCCTGAATATATCCAGACACTTCTTTTATCTGATGCATTAATAAACCATGAACCAAATATAATTTGAATATAAGTGGTTTTTTTCAGTACAAAGGTCCTACCTAAAGTAACAGATGTTTTAGATTTGCATTGCATTACACCAAATAACAACCTCTATCTTCATTTTGCTCATCTTAGGAAATCAATATTCTTCATAGCTAAAGAAATATTTGTAATAATAAAAAGCATTGTTGTGATCAAAAATTCAAACTCAATTAATGATTAATGTACACTTAAAGGGGCTTTGTGGGAAAGAATTCAAAATAATCTTATTGATATGAGAAACCCACGAACAAAGCCTGGATTACACAAAATTTGTCAGGTCATTTGCTTATATTTATGTCAATGTTACACAATTCATGATCATTTTAAATAGGTCTTTGTTAAAAAAATTCCAAGCTACATATATTCCTTCAAAGAAATTTATCTACAACTTGAACCTTAAACTCGTCAACAAGAGATCTTTTCATTTAGAGATATTATTACATATTATTACATTAGAGATATGAAATTTAGTTCCCTGTGCCCCCAGTTCACATCACCTACGTTTAATCCAAAAGCTAAGAAATGAATCTCTGTGGGTTTAACTCTTATTATGCTTTCATATTGACTAGAGAAGGGTTGGTCTTAATGAGGTTACTGCTTTTTCTACATCTATCACTGTTTTTATTATATATTTTCCTCAACTCGCACTAAAATCTACCAACAGCTACTAGGAGATTTAAAAAAAACTTTCACCCTAAATCTACACGTATGGCGTAACAAGCAATGGATCCACACAATGGCGTAACAAAGGCATCTGGGCCCCTTAGCAATGAAACTGAAACGGGGCCTTAGACTTACTCCATGAGCCCTCTGTTGTAGCGTCCGTCAAGTGAGGCAGTAGCGAAACAGAGGCTCATGGGGTAAGTCTAACGGGGCCTCAGTATCTACAGACTGCTAGAAGGCCCAATCCTGTGAAGCATAGCATGTTAAATAGAATAGCAAGGTGTAAAAATGATAATTTTTCCTGTGAACAAGGGGCGAAATGACTTAAATGGTTCAGCTAAAGAACTTTTAGAACTTTTGAAACAAGTTTACCTTGAACAAGGTTTTGAAAGCTAGGGTGTAAAAAAGGGGCCTCTTTTGATTGGAGACCCTTCGTTATCGAACTAAGGTGCCCGTTACGCCACTGAGTCCACATCTATAGGCACTTAATAATGCTGTGCTTGCACTATTAATGTTTCGTGTTTCTTGAAGGGCGTTTCCCCAAATGCGGTTGGTGCCGGCTCAGCTTGGGGGTTGTACTTCTTCAGCTACAATTTCTTAAAAGCCAATGTCAGTGAGGCCAAAGGCATCAAGAATCTTTCCGCCGGGGAGCATTTAATAATTGGAGCAGCCGCAGGTGGGTTTCGTTCTTTCTCGTGTATGAGCGTATAACCCAGGAATTTTCGTATTGTAATGACCACTTTGAATTTAACATTACTCCAACTGGCATTTAAGCTGATTATAAGTAGATTTCTTCTTCACCTTCTCGTGTGATTATAAGTAAAGATGTTTCACGTACAGACGCTTTACTAACGTTAACGATCCTCTTTTACGCAGGAATCTGGGACACTTTTATTCTCCTAATTATTTACAGTTGGCAGGCCCAGTCGTGTTCAGTTGATCTTTCCTGACGATCAATCCGTTTTCTACGCTCTTTGACATATTTTTTTTGCATCTCTAAATAACTCTTGCCATCTCACACAATCAGTACAAATTAAACCAATAGTAATACTTCGACTGAATCGAAGCAGCTCATTAAAAGTGTTTTCCAGTTTCGGTAGCTTAAGAAAGCTTTCGCCTCGTGCCAATATAAATTTGTATCAGAATATGTTTTTGAAACGTATAATTATACAAACAGTAAACTAACTCGTAAAAATTCATTTTTTCCCGTTCTCTCGTTTTCTTCATTCATTCATTTTGTTATTCACCTACTTATATTATGTTTTCGCCTTCTAATTACCTTCTTTTCTTTATGAAGCGTGTACTGCCCGACAATATTTCATTTTATCGTGTTTCTAGCCATGCCCATAATTAGAAGAGTCTTTTCAATTCGGCTTAATATGCTAGATTGTAAACAGAAATTTCGGTATATGGAATATTCGCATTTTTGGATGTTAACTTTTTTTTAGTGTCTCTTTGCTTTCATTCAACCTATGGCAATGGGTTCATAGTAGAGGTAAGATTATGAAGTCGAGATTTTCGCGGTTTTTAATCTTTGCTCTTAGAAATACAGGGCTATGCCAAGTGTGATTTGTGAGTTATGTAAGGATGTTGATTTTGGTAATTTTTTTTCTCGCAAAAGGAGCAAGCACCCTGTGTATTACGAATCCAGTATGGGTAGTTAAAACTCGCATGTGCCTGCAATTCAACTCACAATCAGTCGCAAGTGAAGTCTATTACAAAGGAGTTATAGGTACGTGCTTTATCGTCAATGTAAAATGGTTTTTACCCACTAAAACATATATTGAAAATGACATATCTACGTTTAATAGAACGGACTGACTGAATCAATTAGGAGCTGTGCATTTGTTATTGTTTCGTTTGGAAACTAATCGCATAGCATAGCAAATCTTTCAGTGACGAAAGTTAGAGTGATTGCCAGGTCAACTAGCAAAGTCCGTTGGTTTAAAATTGAATTATTCCTCGGTCTAAAAGAAATCTGAATATACCATCTTTGATAATTAAATTCATATTGGTAATGAAGAAAACGACATAATGACAAAAGAAAGTGATGAAATTTCAAACAGCGAAATGATGTTATATTTTGGTGCAGTATGTTTATCACTGTTGATGATTAAATAAGCGACACTGTCGTAGAAATCAAAGAGATGAATAAGAAAAAGTAACTGCTTGAAAATGCTTAATTTTGAAGAAGATCCTGGATAGCGTATGCCAAAAAGGAACATTTTCCTTTACTCAATTGCTCAATTGTAGCATTATTAACAATTTATAACATGCACCCAAAAGCATTCCACACGAAGCACAGGCATGTCTTGTGTGTGACTGAAAACGTTTAACGGAACAGGACCCTTTCCTTGCAAGCGTTTGAATTGAACGAGTTGTGATGAAGTTATTTAAGTAGAAAACTTTTCTTTGTGAGATAACAGATGCACATTTTAAGGTTTTGAATAATTCTTAAAATACCAAATACTTTTTTTGTACTTTAAATTTTGAAGACGGTACGAAATAGCGGAAACATTGCATACTGAAGCACTTTTCGTTCGACCCACTTCAGAGTAAAAACATCGGATAATAGTTGAAAATTAGTAAATGTAGTAAGCAGAAAATTTATATCAAGTTTTGGATCGAAAACCACGTGAAAGGAAAAAAGGCGCGTTTGATTGGTTCTTTTGTCTTTTGACAATCAGCGACCGCATACCTTGAAGATTCCAATAGAGTAAACGTTTGGTCTAAGGGATTCCAAGAGAGAAAAGAAGATTCTAACTCTTTTGGTCTACACAAGTCGGCAGTTTCCTTGGTGTTTCCGTGCAGAACATTATCAAAAGGAAATTAAATCGATCTGCACTTGGGTACAATTTTTTTTAGCTTTTGGTTACATATGCTGAAAGAAATGTATACTTCAGTTCCACATCTTATGTTCCCGTTATACTATGCTATTTTACTTTCTGTTTGGTTGTCTTTGTTGAGCAAACTCTCCCTTGAAATTTTGCGCACACGTTAACGTCGTACATGCCCGCAAACAGTACTGATGATCACAGATTCTAGTACGTTAATTTTGTGTTTCAGATGGCCTTATAAAATTATACAAACATGAAGGTATTAGGGGATATTACAAGGTAAGCCTCTTCTCATCAATAGAAGCAGACAAAATTATGTGATCAGAAACTCTTGCAAAATATGTATTATTATAAAATATGTATTACTGTATCACTAAAGAGGATAAAAAACAAAAATCCCTGCAAGTCTTTCATCATGTAATGGCGGTGTACATGCGTCAACTCGGAATATTGGCGATGGCAATCAAAAACAAACTACAACTAAAATGAAAAAATTGGGTTTTTTATAGACTGATGAAATTTGTTTTTAACATTGTACTCTGTTGGTATAACCATGTGCTTTGTTTGTATAGCCTTATTCAATCTACAACTGAGTTTATATATTTCCAGTCTTCGAGTTTTCAATATATGTTCTGACGTTTTTATCCATGAAGAGTGTCAGACGAAAAGCTGCAGTGTGTTTCACAAGTTTTTTCCTTTCTGAAAGGCATTTTTATGCAGTCTATATCACGGCTTAATTGCATTAGTAGGTTGTCAATAGTATGTTGTGTGGTTTAATATGAACATGAGATACTGACACGTTAATTATGCAAACACCTGTTTAAAAAGCAAAAACACCTGTTTCACATCAACCAATTCTTGCAACTACCAAATTTTATAGTTAGTTTACTTCGCTGCGAAAAGCGAGAAGGAAAGTGAAAGTCGCAGATTTGTGGAAAATAGGCATCTTGAATATGGAGCTTCAATGCCTGCCAAAAGTCCTTGGAACACCCTGAGATTTCTGTGAATTCACGTGTCCCATGCTATCTCCAACAAGGAAGGTGTTGCCCCCCTTCCCCCTCATTCAATGTTAATTAGTTAGCTAAAAACCATAGCTATGTAAAAATATATCACTTGTACATGTAGGATTATTAATATTTCCGTGGCACAACATTGTATAAGGGAGAGGGGATGTTGCAGCTCATGCACAACGTGAATTATGGCCAGTGTTCCAAGACTTTTGGCAGGCATATACCCTAGGTTGATATGATAAAATCGGTTTTTAATAACCGTCCGCCAAGGAACCTTCAATCTAATTATCTTTAAGATGGCTTTAAATTGCGTTTATATTCTTCGATTTATAATTTAAAGCATCATGAGCTAAAAACTCCTGCATGGTTGCGAAAGCATAGTGCAGCGAAGTACACACAATAAACAGTGCGAAGTACAGTAAGAACTGTATATATAATCACCAATCAGAAGGTACAATTGTTTCTACCGGGATAACAGTTTCAGAAGATTTGATATACCAATCTCGTTTAACGGGTGGGAAGAGGGTGTTGGTTCTTATGCCCCCAATGTTTGACAGGGAAATTTTGCTTTGGATTCCTGGACTCCCTGCTTTGGCTTCGCCTGGTTGGGGCTCGCTTCTGTTGGAGGGAATACACACCCACAACCCCATGGCCTGTATTTAATACCTGTTATTCTTACTGTTTGCAGGGATTTCTGCCAGGGCTATTTGGTGTTTCCCATGGAGCAATACAGTTCATGACTTATGAAGAACTTAAGAAATGGAATAGCAAATACACCGGCAAAGCTATCGACTCAAAACAGGTGAGAAGGGATTTGCAGGTGTTCGCTTTGTTTACACAAAAGTAACGGAGTCAGCTGTTACTGAGTTCTTGGTTAGCAACACTGAAGTAACAGAATGGAAGTCGTACATGCTCGCTAACCATACGATCGTGTATAGGACTGGATAGAGAGTTGTAGACGTGCTTCAAGTCTTTATTGATTTTCTTGAAAAAGAAATTGTGCAAACGAAGGAGAGGGTTCTCCTTTTCATTTGATTTGATTGCCATTTTTCTAGTATAACAGCATATTTAATTAGAATCTACAAGAATTAGGACCATGTGACACTGGAGCTCTTCCAAAAGAGTGAGCTTTAGATATTTCTTGTTGCTTTTCTAAAGTCCTGTTTTCCCTACAAAACTAACGCGGGCTCGCTCTGGTTTTTAAACGAACCCAGTTTGAATTTTGCTTTCTTCACACACTTGTTTTGTTTTCTACGTAAACCAAACTCGGAGCGTACCCAGACTAATGCCATGTTAACGTATACACAGTTTTCCTAATTTATAAGATTTGAAGATAAGATTTCTAATGTTTACTACAGCAGGCTATTCTTTTGAAGCTGACCATGCACTTGGTTCTCTGCAGAAGTCGTATCGTTGCTTACTTTTTTCCTCCAGCAAGATTAGATTCCCTGTCAACATTTCCATCTACTGTGATATCTACTGTATTTGCCTGTAACATCTACTGTGGGTTTTCATGTTGCAGAATTGGCATTATCTATTGCTCGTCCACAAACCTTGTGGTCGGCATAAAAAAAACCTATTTGGCACCGTGAAACGAATATTGTATGAAATTTTGAAATTTCAGAACTTAAATCTAATGTGAAACTGGACTTCCAAAACGTGAAGAATACTGGGTAAATGTTGGGTCGTTTAACCGGGGCCTTGGTCAATTTTATTGACTTCGCCTGAATAAGTTTTAATTCTATAGTTTCGAAAGTTGTTGCAGTGCAAAAGTATGTTTTTGTTTTTATTTCCACATAGAATTATCACGATGATTAATTTCCATTTACAGTCGGCAATTACGTACATTGTAATGGCAGCTCTGTCGAAAGTTGTTGCTGTTGTGGTGACGTATCCATATCAGGTCGTAAGATCACGGCTACAGGTTTGTGTAAAGTTTTACATTTACAAGCCATTTTTGCTGTGTAAACCAGTACGGTAAATTGGGAGCCAAGTTTCTACGGATATCGCAATGCAAAACAATGGCCTGAATGTAAGACAGCCTTTCGTACATTAGTCTGTGGTTATAATCATACGAAATTTAGCTTGAAAATTTGTGACAGTAAACAGAATGTGACTGTATACCGAGCTCAGTGGAATAGTTTTGCATATTTTGGTCTTGAATTTTAAGTCTTAAAACTATAAGTAGAGTTGACTGTATATTAAAGCGACTGGAACACCCAAGACTGTCAATACTTTCTATGTCACCGTTTTGACTCAAATCCTACTCTAAAAGAATTCGTTAATCGAAGAAAATGTTTTTATCAAAAACTAACTTTGTTTTTTTCTGGCGAGAAGTGACCGACATCTAACACCGGCTGTAGCCATCTTCACGAAAGGCATTGAGAGGGAATTAACCCGAGAAAGAAAAACATGGCTGCCTCTGAGTGGGTGGGTGCTTTGAAGAGTAGGCATAAACTTTGAATAATATCCCAACCATTGTGGTAAGGCAAAGACATGAATCCACCTGCTTTTTGGATTTATTCTTAGCCAAACTGCTATTACTTAATCTTTGGTCTTCATTGTGTATCAAAATCAGGATTATTGTATAAGGACAGCGTTTTTCTCCCAGTTCTGTTGAATGTACTGCCGACTCCGCTTAAAGTCACACAACCGCTTACAGTTACATAAAATTTAGACTGAAATACGCAAAACTGTTCACTTTGAGCTCCATTTACATTCACACTCAGTTTACTATCACAGATTTTCAAGCAAAATTTGTGTTACTTTACTATAATCAAAGTCTACCGTATTGGCTACAAACTCCGTAAGCAAACAAGCCGAAGGCAATGCAGTCGTTTTAAAAATTACGAGGGCAACGCAGTTTGAAAGTGCGATCACTTACATTGATCTCCAGGTTTTTCTATTAGTACTCAGCTATCAGAATATAGATTCACATAAATAAATATACAAGGTTGGCAAAACTTCTTCCTTTGCAACAGGGGCAGTCATCATCAATATTCAGTCCTGATACCTCACTGAAATAAACTGATCAATCTTTACTTTTTATTTTCACGTGTTCTAATCTTCCTTTTCTTACATGCATTCTCTTTTGACAGGCAATAATAAAACGGTCTTTGCGATAAAACCCAAATATTCACCCCGCACTTGCAATCATGGCTTGTTTCAAAGAGTCTTTCAGGATCCCATAGAATTTCTGTACCTGTCTACGAGCAGATTATCTTTTTTTAAAGAGGTAACAATCTGGAGTATTATATTTTTCAGGATCGAGAATACCACCAGAATTATAAAGGCATCATCGACATGATTAAAAAAACATTGAGGTTGGTCGTGAGAACTTTGCCATTATAAGATCTTTTTTCCACTCAGGCGTCTTTACCTTGTCATGACGTCAGACGTCTATTTTTTCTGGCCTAGGCCAACGATGTTGTTGATTCAAAAGCTTTGTTCATCTGGTTGTGTGTGTTCAATATGTTTCCTTTTTCTCTCTCTTTTGCTCATAAATGCTAATTTCATTTGCAGAAATGAAGGCACCAAGGGATTTTATAAGGGACTGACACCAAATCTTTTGAGGTAAGACTTTGTTTCATTAACCAGGTCATTGGTGTACGTTTTTAGAAAGACAATAAACTAATGATGTTTTTTTTATTTTTCAGAGTGACGCCTGCCTGCTGCATAACTTTTGTTGTCTATGAGAACTTGATGCATTTTCTCAAGCCGATTCTGGGGCGCGAGGAGACCTTAAAGACCTGATATCTGTTGGTCTAGGATCTCTTGAATTGGTATTAAAATGGAATAAGTCAATGCATGTTTAAGATTTTTTACAAATGAATTGAAGTACTGCGCAACGTTATACGCGAGCCTGGGTAGCTACAAATTCGAGTCTGAGCAGCTGTTACACACGAGAAAACTATGTAGATTCTAGATAATCAATGGGATCTCACTGTGGGCTGGGATCATCCAACGAATCTTGGTTTCAACCTAGCGGCAGCTCTCTTGGCGAGCTGGAACAGAAATTTTAACATAATAGGAACAAATGTGGTTTTATTTTTTTTATTTGATATGCGTTCTTAAGTCGGTTTATCCATTGATTTAATTCTTCATCAGACCATGCAATACCAATTCCCTGGCTAAAACGTTTCCTTCAATAATATTCCAAATCGTCTTTGAGATAGTTGATCATCAAATCTTCCTTGCTTTTCTAATCAATTTTGTTCTTGGTTTTCCTTTTGGAAGTCCTACCTTAAAAAATTTTAAATTACTATTAAATTACTATTAATTATTCAATAAATTTATTATTATTAAATACTAACATACCATTCGCCCTGCTCCTGTCATTTATTTTTAATTTTTAGACTTTACCCCCAAGGCTATTTTGCTAATTTCCTGTGAACATTTCCCAGAACAGTCAAACTCCCATAAGGCCGATCTCTTGGAACCTTTAAAACCCGAATGAAGTTAAATACCTTTAAAACCCGAATGAAGCACGACAGAGTAAAAACTTAATGCTATCCGCTCAAATATAGGTAGAATAGATATGTCATCGCGCGAACAATGTTAATCGTATCATTAATGCCTGTGCGTTACTAGAAATAGTCATGGATTTGTATCTCCATTGGGCTATAGACATATAATTATACAAATAAATGAAAATGTCCAATTTAGGTCTAACACAATTATCGTACTTAAAAACCCACTTATGCGACGAAAATTGATTTCACAAAATGGGCTGGGCCTAAGCATTCTGTCCCTATATTAGACTCAAACGAGTTTGATTGTAACATCAAAAAGGTGCTTTGAAGCTATCTCGACTCGTTTATCATACTTAACGTAGAAGACTGGTATGTATTTAAGAATTTTTATGCCTTTGTATATAGTTCAGTATTTATCACAGAATATGTTATGTATCAACTGTGGTCCTTTCATCCACTGAAACCTATCATTTAGACCTCTTAAAATCTATCTTTATCAAGGCAGAAAATCTTGCTTTTGTAGACAGAAAGAGCTTGCTTCATTTCATAGAAAAAATCAACTATGAAAGTTTTATGTTTTGATATTTCGGGCAATTGGTCTATTGAGATTAGAAGGGACGGAATAAAGTCTCAATGAAATTTTTCTTCAAAGTCAGGCAAGTCTCACGGAGAAATATTTCTAATGAGTTCAAGTTGGGTATATAGATTTTGGAATAAAAATGAGCAGAAAAAACTAACACGACCCATCAGTTGTTGTTATCTCATTATGGACTTAAGCTGAACTTCCCTTCTCTCCTGTTAGACAGTGCACGATTTCCCGGAAAGCCCACCTTTTTCTCTAGTCATACGTATTTTCAGTGCACGATTTCCCGGAAAGCCCTGTTCTCTCTCTAGTCATACGTATTTTCAGTGCACGATTTCCCGGAAAGCCCTCTTCTCTCTCTAGTCATACGTATTTTCAGTGCACGATTTCCCGGAAAGCCCTCTTCTCTCTCTAGTCATACGTATTTCATTGATGCCTCGTTTGTATACAAAATTGTACATGTTCAACTTGTTATTGGTACAGGGGTTTGGAGCGTCCAAACATTTTTGCTTGTATAACCCATTAAGGCATTTAACGGCTTTAAGCAGACTTAGCAATGAATTGGAGTTGCATCTGGCTCGCTTTTTCGACAGAAATTAAAGGTATGGATATGCAGGTGATTTTCAAGAGAGCTTCCTTAAAAGGAATTCACAATGAACTAATTACCGGTATTCATTATTCAATGTGTATTCTGGTTAATTTTTGCAAGATTATCCGCTTAGGTATAAAGCAATGATGTGAACTTAACAAGATAATGATTATTAAAAAAAATTAAGGTTTCTACAAGCCGTCAACACTGACGTCGAGAAATTGGTCACAGCGTCTCAGTCTATTAAGTTCTCTCCTTTTGTGCTAAATGTCACATAACAAGATAGGAACACATGAGCAGATGCTCTTTCCCCGTCAAACCACTATAATTTGGCCTTGGTTCTTAAACTAATGAACCAGCCCAAAAATCCTTCAGTAAAACTAGGACTTTTCTCCGACTATATCCCAGTAAATACGTAACAGATTAAACTGGTTTTGAACATTTAGAGGCATTCCATTGTGTTATTTGTGATTATTTGGTCAAAATGAAAATAATTCTCAAAATATATTTTATGACTTCATCACATTCCCGATCTATACTTTTGTCATGCATGAATTTATCCGCTAAGAGGCGCTAATCTGGTTCCCGAATAAATTCGTATCCCGAAAGAAAAATAAATTAAATGAAAAAATAAAATAAATAAAATATTTTGATTGTTACAAAAAACTTTTTATCAATAAAAATAAAACATGTAATCGATCTTGATTAACACTTACACGGGCACTTAAGGTTAAATATCCCTCTACATTGTGGACCGAGAGGTTCTCGCAGCTCTCGGCCACCATGCTTGACAACCCATCTCCTTCAATAAAGATTCTTTCTCGAAACATTCTCTTTGTCCTTTCCAAGGACCTTTCATTTTACATTAACCTTTTAACGTTTTGGTGCAAATGATGATAGGAGGTTTTGCTTGGAACAAAAGCAAGATACTGCTTTTTTAAGACCATATGGTTAGACAAACTGCTATTATTTAAACATAATTTAGAGGCAATTTCGAGATACAGCTTTGCTATAATAGTTGTATTATTTTAAAAAAATCAAAATTTTAACAAATAGCTATAAACGAAACTTGTTCTCAGTGCTTAAATTTCGTTGTCATTTATCATTGTCAAATGAAATGCAATGGCAAACGCCCTTGATCGACAAGGCAGTATGTATCTGGCTGGTGACAATCATTATTTAACTTTTGACAAACGAAAGTAAAATTCAATAGAGGAAAAAAGCAGAGAATACCAATGAAACCTAGAGTGAGAATCATTTGTAGAGTAAGAACAAGAAAACTTAAAAGGAGAGTTGGATTTGCAGGTTAAAACGAATGAAGTCCTGCGGTTGAAGATGAAGCATGTTGAATGGATGATATTGTTCAAGTTCTTGAATACAATGTATCGAGTCTCAATATCATCTTTAAAATGTGTTCCTCACGTTTTAAGAAAAATGGATATGCATTGCCGCAGATGCTAAGAGCGCTGATAGAAAGGCCAACACAAAAAGAGTTCGTCGCAGTTAGACTAAGCTCTTGGATAAATGGTATGCACATTTCGTCCTTGCCCTTAATTTTTAACGTCGAGCACAATGACATAAACGTTTTTTTGGTGTAAATAAAATCTTAAAATAATGCCACTAGTTGTCGTACACAAGTGAAAATGCATTGCACACGATAAACTAGCATGCCTACATTCAGAAATGGCCCCTCAATAAATGGAAATGACTTCGCAAAGAAATATTTTGCATAATTTTGTCTACAAATGGAAATTCAAAAAATAGTCTGATGACATTGTCGAGTATTTTGAAGGTTTTCCTAATGGCCTAGAGACAGAACCTTTTTAATATCCTGGTGAAATTTCGTGCTGATTTCTGCCATTGCTAGTATCCCTCCATAACAGTCGGAAGCTTTTTTTACAGAACGTTTCAGCGAACAGTGCTCTTACACTGAACTGGGTGACTTTGGTAGAAGAAAGTTCTCATCCCAAGTAAAAATTCCCTTTAAGTAAAACAATACCAGCTATTATCGTACGAATGTGCTCAAGTCATTTACAAGTGGAAATAGACAGGAGGGACATTAGTGAAAAAACTCGAAGTGTCATTGATGTCCCTTTCTAGGAAAATGATGGTACACTGCTGATAGTCGAATAGTTGGAAAATTACCACGAGAAAAGAACGTAAATATGGGCAATGCTTAAAGCAGTTAGCTATGTTGTTGTCTGGAAAAGTAAAAACTGTAATCCCACAAAATACATCATTGACCTATCGGTAAAATAGGGGCGAAAATGAAGGAAAACGTAGGAATCCAGCCTGTTTTTCAGGCGTTTTACTGAGAAAAGACAGCTGACAAAGTCGAAAATGGTACACTGCTGATAGTCGAATAGTTGGAAAATTACCACGAGAAAAGAACGTAAATATGGGCAATGCTTAAAGCAGATAGCTATGTTGTTGTCTGGAAAAGTAAAAACTGTAATCCCACAAAATACATCATTGACCTATCGGTAAAATAGGGGCGAAAATGAAGGAAAACGTAGGAATCCAGCCTGTTTTTCAGGCGTTTTACTGAGAAAAGACAGCTGAAAAAGTCGAAAATGGTACACTGCTGATAGTCGAATAGTTGGAAAATTACCACGAGAAAAGAACCTAAATATGGGCAATGCTTTAAGCAGATAGATATGTTGTTGTCTGGAAAAGTAAAAACTGTAATCCCACAAAATACATCATTGACTTATCGGTAAAATAGGGGCGAAACATGAAGGAAAATCCGTAGGATTCCAGCCTGTTTTTCAGGCGTTACTTGAGAAAAAGACCAGCTAGAAAAAAGCTCGAAAATTGGCTACACTGACCTGAATAGTTCGAATAGTTGGAAAATATACCACGAGGAAAAGAACGTAAAATATGGGCCAATGCCTGTTAAAGCAGGATAGCTATTTTGTTGCTGGAAAAGTAAAAACTGTAATCCCACCAAAATAATCATTTGCCTAGCGCGTTTAAAATAGGGGAGAAAATGAAGGAAAACGTAGGAATCCAGCCTGTTTTTCAGGCGTTTTACTGAGAAAAGACAGCTGACAAAGTCGAAAATGGTACACTGCTGATAGTCGAATAGTTGGAAAATTACCACGAGAAAAGAACCTAAATATGGGGAATGCTTAAAGCAGATAGCTATGTTGTTGTCTGGAAAAGTAAAAACTGTAATCCCACAAAATACATCATTGACCTATCGGTAAAATAGGGGCGAAAATGAAGGAAAACGTAGGAATCCAGCCTGTTTTTCAGGTGTTTTACTGAGAAAAGACAGCTGAAAAAGTCGAAAATGGTACACTGCTGATAGTCGAATAGTTGGAAAATTACCACGAGAAAAGAACGTAAATATGGGCAATGCTTAAAGCAGATAGCTATGTTGTTGTCTGGAAAAGTAAAAACTGTAATCCCACAAAATACATCATTGACCTATCGGTAAAATAGGGGCGAAAATGAAGGAAAACGTAGGAATCCAGCCTGTTTTTCAGGCGTTTTACTGAGAAAAGACAGCTGACAAAGTCGAAAATGGTACACTGCTGATAGTCGAATAGTTGGAAAATTACCACGAGAAAAGAACGTAAATATGGGCAATGCTTAAAGCAGTTAGCTATGTTGTTGTCTGGAAAAGTAAAAACTGTAATCCCACAAAATACATCATTGACCTATCGGTAAAATAGGGGCGAAAATGAAGGAAAACGTAGGAATCCAGCCTGTTTTTCAGGCGTTTTACTGAGAAAAGACAGCTGACAAAGTCGAAAATGGTACACTGCTGATAGTCGAATAGTTGGAAAATTACCACGAGAAAAGAACGTAAATATGGGCAATGCTTAAAGCAGATAGCTATGTTGTTGTCTGGAAAAGTAAAAACTGTAATCCCACAAAATACATCATTGACCTATCGGTAAAATAGGGGCGAAAATGAAGGAAAACGTAGGAATCCAGCCTGTTTTTCAGGCGTTTTACTGAGAAAAGACAGCTGAAAAAGTCGAAAATGGTACACTGCTGATAGTCGAATAGTTGGAAAATTACCACGAGAAAAGAACCTAAATATGGGGAATGCTTAAAGCAGATAGCTATGTTGTTGTCTGGAAAAGTAAAAACTGTAATCCCACAAAATACATCATTGACCTATCGGTAAAATAGGGGCGAAAATGAAGGAAAACTAGGAATCCAGCCTGTTTTTCAGGCGTTTTACTGAGAAAAGACAGCTGACAAAGTCGAAAATGGTACACTGCTGATAGTCGAATGGTTGGAAAATTACCACGAGAAAAGAACCTAAATATGGGCAATGCTTAAAGCAGATAGATATGTTGCTGTCTGGAAAAGTAAAAACTGTAATCCCACAAAATACATCATTGACTTATCGGTAAAATAGGGGCGAAAATGAAGGAAAACGTAGGAATCCAGCCTGTTTTTCAGGTGTTTTACTGAGAAAAGACAGCTGACAAAGTCGAATAGAACCTTTTACCTTTGTAACATGGGCGGAGTTAGGAGAAAAACATGTTTTGGCTTTCAACAAGGAGTTTTTAAACTTTAAAGGAAAGGTACACGATGCTATAACGGGATTCAACTGAGAATGCCAGCCAAAAAAATCTAGGACGATTGATACGGTGAAAATAATTTAACTATTAAACAAAATACTAACGAGAGAGTATATTCTCGAGAACTCATGGAGGTCAACAAGGTTCTTTTGGTTAGAATCATAATAAGCCTATACCAGAAAAACATAATAGGTAATATAAAAAGCCTTTTGAACAAATGTTGACCTAATGGGCACATCAATCCTGTAAGCATTAAATGCAATTCAAGTGTTTTGAAAAAAAACCAAAATTCTTGATTTTCATACAGAGAGAGAGCAATATAGAGTACCTTTTCGCATTTAAACTCTTCATCTTCAAAACGGTTTAGCTGGTTTTGACTGGTCAACACAAAGAACTAATCAAGCGCGAACCGTATATTTCCACACATCTTTTGGTCATTATCCATACTCTAATTGTATGTTGAAGAGATATATTTCTTCAGTAATATATTTTTCCTTTCATTCTGACATTTTGCAGTGCCTCTTCATTATCAGGCACTGCACCGTCTGCTAGTTTTCCTAACTGATCAGGATTAGATCAGACCTTTTGGCCTCAAACCAATTAATGCACTGTGTGTTGATATCAGAAATGTGTTGATATCACAGACTAGCTTTATTTTCACCATTTTTACACCGTCTTTGCCAATGTGTTTATACCACTCCTTACTTCTCTCCAGGCCGTATTTATCACATATTTTCCACTGTGCTATCCTGGCTGCCTTGTCGTGTTTACTTCTGAAAGTTTTTCCATAAGCAATGGAACAGCGAAATACGAATACTTTGTCATGTCTACATCCATCGTTTCCAACCCCCACCGCTGCATTTCAACTTGATCCAAGATTTTACAGGAATACAAACAGTAACAGTTCGTTAATATTCCTTCCCTGCAAACTTTGTACATACAGTGATTGTGTTAGATACTTTCCACATCACATTTCACCGATACTTAACAACGCTGAATCTGAAGGCCTGTATTACTGCTGCAAAACCTCAAAATATCTATACAGAAATAGTAAGTAAATATTACACAATGCCAAAACCATATACCCTTGATATTTTTTTAATCAACTGGAAGATTTGAAACAGGAAATTATTTATTCCCTCTTACGATGCTATTGTATACTAATTTTAGCATTTTGTACATTCTCTCAAAATTTTTCACCCATATTCCCACCCATATTCCTATTTTCAAATTCATTTTACATTCCCTTCGTCATTTTAAGTACTAATATTATCATAAACAACCGTAGGGCAATCAGTTCTAAGATTTTTGAAATTGCAAATTTTCAAGGAAAAATTTAAAGCCAGCAGAGAAAGTAAAACAGAGACGAGAAATATTTAAAACAGGAAACAAAAAACAGGATATGAACCGAATTAATGAAGTTAAAAAAGCAAAGAGTAATGTTAAAATGTGTGAATGAAGAAAAGTTCACTGTAGCAGGCTGCTCGACGGGCTCCAAGGAGTTCTTACGGCGAAAAGTCGATAAAAATGTAGCAAATAAGAAACACCGCAATACGCCGAGAATAAACAGCAATAAATACACGTAAATCAGTGAAGGCTAATATTTCGCCCCGGCATACGGGGCTTCATCAGAGCAAAAGTGTTAAAATATTTGATAGTCAAAAGCTTGGTTATGAAGTAGCACAGGATCGGTAGCAGTATGCCAAGAGTATACACTCAAACAGTCACAGTGCATTGATGCTGTCAATGCGAAAAACACATTCTAGGAAATCGTCAAACACATCAAATCACATCAAAAAACAGTAGAAATAATATAGGAATACTGCCTAGAAATAAAAAGAAATAATATGGAGAAAAGGATATGGATATCTAGAGAAGGTAGGGGGAACAAGGTAGCCATTATCAAGATACGTAGCAAGAACAATCACAAGAAATGAGCACCAAGTGGACATCAACAACGGGAAAAAGAAAACCATGTCGGCAAACAAGAAGTAGACTTGATAATACAAATATATGCATATGTAAATTAGCGGGAACACGGTAGATGAGAAATAAAAAAAACCGAATGTTGCGGAAGAGTTTGAGATTGCCATTAGGCTAAAGTGATCTGAATAGCTTATGATGATGGTGCTGCGGCAAACTAACATGCTGACGTAGGTTCACTCCAGCTGTGAGAAAACAATAATAGATCGCAGTTGCACTTGGCGACGTAATTCAGTGCTATGCAAGTGGTATACTTTATATCCTAAAGGTTATAGTGGTTTTTGCCGATATAAATAAAAAAGAATTTTGAGGAAATGTCGAGCTCTGCATATGCTTTTAAAAAACACCCAGGAAACGAATTAAATCTGAAAAGTTGACGCTGAAAAATACGGACTTTCGGCTTCATTAATGATAGCAGAAACAACAATGCTTTATAACAGGAAAATATGTCCCCAATGCTTCATGAAAACAGCTGGGTCATCCGCGTAAAAGGTCTTTTCCAATAGATTCACAAGAAGTGAGTCTAGACATGGACTAACCACATTCCATTTGGATTTGAGCTACACTCTTTTTCTATAAGAACCAGTAAATTTAATTTCAGGCTGACTGTTCTTAAGTTTTTCGAGAATCTGTTATACTTAATTTGTTCTTAAATTAATATGTTGTAAACAGTGCGGTTGCTAGCTTTTTCGCTCTAGGGAGGTGTTCAGGGCTCATTTGCCAACGAAGTGACGGAGACAACCTCCATTTACAGGCAATTTTGAATATTTACCGAAAAACACCCACACATGGCTAAAATCCGCGAATACAAGATAAAACATTGTTCAAAATTGCATTTTACAGTAGCTCAGACTCATCTTGTTCTCAATTTGTTCTTAACTTTTGACCAATTATGAGACTCGTGTTCTTATAAAATTGTTCTTGAAAAAAGAGAGCGTAGGTTTGATTCCATTTTAAGGAATTATCTGTATTTACTATCTCAAACGAATACTGTATTGAAAAACTTGTATATTAGGGGGCTGACGATATATCATATACGAATTGCGAGGCTTTTAAAAAAGTATTTTGAATGACATATCATTGATGAGTATAACCATTATGATAATTAAAATGACTTTATTTGCATCTGAAATCAACAGAGGTACGCAGCAAAGGGTTTTCCAGTCATAAAACAATCTTGTCACAGCTACTTCAAAACACCATTCTACCAATATTAAATAGTATCATACATAATGTTAAGGATTGTTGTATTTTGCAAACAGTTCTGCATACATTATAGATGAATGTGGTGTAGAAAGATTTACAGTTCATCATGCTCACGTTGCTTCAAGAACTGCAAGAGACTCTTTAAGTCTCTGCTGCCAGTATATTGTTCAAAGCTCAGCCGTGATTTGAAGAGCAAAAGTGATGGGTACTGCGATATCTGGGAAATGGAAGAAATTCATTTCAATCTGCAGCCTCCCACGTGCTGCTCAAAATGACGTTTACTTTTACTGACAAACGTAGGGTTGCAGTGATGGGGTCTGGGGCAAGGGGGCTAAGCAGGGCTCGGGAGGCAGGGTAATGTCAAATAATGTCTTCTTGCCATTGCTTTTTAAGATTTTTTTTGCAAGTTCCTATTGTTCATTCTAGAGAACTACCTCCTTGATAAAAGGCTGGTTTATTTGGCTCTCCTCCTGGCGACTTTAGCAGTCGAAATGACTGCTCTCGGGTGCAAGACTGTCAGACAAGCTTTAAAAGCATAATAGAAATAAGTTGTTAAACTCGATAGAGAGAAACTTTCATGCAGTTAAAGAATCAAACTGTGTACCTTTAATTCTCTGCAAAGTATTATTTCCTTTGTGCAATCTACCTGTGTAGTAAGGGAGAAAAGAAAGATAAGTATCTCTCCGTCTTAACTAAAAGGATAAATAAGAAATACGTGAAAATAATGTGATCGGTGTAAAACACATAAATTTATAATCTGATCAATAAATTTATGGATCAGATTATGTGAACTCGACAAATAGATGTTTCTAGAAACACACACGAAGTTAAAAGTACGCTCTCGATACCAACACCAATACGTTTGGTATCCCAGTACTCTGCTTTGTAGTCAATTTCATGGGGTAAAAATAATGCTCTCAAATGGGGGAATATATTATGGGAAATTTTACTTTTCCCATGCCTTAACTACTAATGAAAGATGTAATAGAGAAAAAGAAAGAATTAAATCAAGAATTGAACAAAGAAATTCATAATCTAAGGCCTGTTACATCCCAGAAACATCCACTGAAAACCAACACTTGCACAGAGAGCTGTCCAGGTTCAACGTAGATTCGTTTCTGGTAGATCGACCAGGGACTTTTTCAACAATGAGAAATAAAGGACGAACGGCTGTTAAAAGCAATTGAACATTTAAATACGGAATACTTTAAATTAGATTTGAGTAGAAGAGCTTCTAAACCGTCTAAACTACAAACCTTTGCTATTTTGACCATGATTCCTTCATTGAAAACACTCGCTGCCAGCTCATTCCAAACGGGCGTGAATTGCTTGCAGTATTTACACCTGAAATAATGTTGAGATCCATAAAAAATTTAGCTCCAAGGATTCAGAAACAAGTTTTTGCTTTATGTAGCATAAATCAAAAGCGCATAAGCAGATCTCATAAAAGTCATTAAGACCCTGTTTACACGGGAAAAATGGGGCCTATGCAGTTTGGGATCGATCCCGTTTCGGATCGATCCGAAAATTTTGCAGACGTTTACACGGGATCGATCCCAAAATATAATACATTGTGTTTACACGGGACCGCATGGCTTTCTAGGCTTTCTATGCCCTTTTGAAAGGAATGTTCATGCGTAATTGTTTATGCTATCAACAATACAAAGAAAATACCGCCAAATTTATAGGAAGGCTGAGAGGAAAATGGCTTCAAATTTGAAAGGGAGCAACAAAATGTTTGTTTGGAGCGATAAAAAAGGGCCCTACTCCTAAATATCATGATGGATTAAAAACATTATAGGTTGGAGCCTGTTAGCTAAATTTATCAATAAACTCGTAAAAAATAGATTCCATCTTGTTTTGTATTTTCCATCTTGTGGACGAATAGGGCGTGCAAGACCTGACCAATTCTACATAGATTAGGTTGTTTTGATTGAATCTGTCACAAGATGACCGTTGCCGTTTAGGCCGCGCTGTGTACGCTTTTGATGTATAGAACAGGACGGTTATAAGTCACTAGTCCGAGTCTAACGCTTTAAAGCGATTACCAGGCAACTCTTTTGATCCAACTGATATTCGCATTAAACGTGAAACTCAGATAGCAATTTAGAATCGTCCTGTTTCATAAATCGAAAGCGGGTGGATAAAAAATGAAAGTTTATGCTTCAGAAGGGGATATAGCATTATTAACATAACCTATCTTGAATAATAATTAATAATCATCATCTTCAAAAACCAAATGTTGCATCTAAGCCCTGTAGAAAATTCACTGTCTTTATAATTAAATTTGGTCGAAATTCTTATCAGTAAATAATTGAAGTTGGTTTATTTAGTTCACCTTTGCTCAACAAATGATATTTTGATCAAAATTTTAAAACCAACTAAAGCAAATATAAAATTTCTTTGATGCATTAAAGTTAACAGAGTGACCCATTAAAAGCTAAAAATGTTAGAAGTCCTGCACAACGTAAAGAAATAGTGTGTCCAACAGGTTTGTAATGAAAAATGCCAAACAAGAAAGGAAACATAGATTACCGGACGAAAGAGTCCCAGAAATTACTCCTAAATACCTTTAATAAAACATATCGGCAGTATGCCTAAAATAAGTGCACTAAAGATTTATTTTCAGTTCATGTTGATTGTTAGAAGTTTCGGGCGAATTCCTGCCATAGTCCTCTTTCTAGCTGCACACTTAGACAGGTGCATGGCCAGAATCTTTCGAATATTAAAAACGGATATATGTGGCAATGTTTTTCCTACGTGAAATTTAATGCTCTTTCAGAATATGCTTGTCAACATTCGATTATGTGGTGGGTGTGGCAGGGCGTGGTCATATTACGCCACTCGCACTTTTCTAAGGCTAAATGCCTTTAAAGTGGCTAATATTAGCCAAATTGAAAGGCTTTTGAACTAATGTTGTCCTCTTTCTATGATTGCATGTCAAAGTTGCATATTTTGGGGGGTGGGGCAGGGTGTGGCTATATGACGTCATTCTTAGATAAACAAATTATATGAAATTATCTTTAGAAGAATTAAAGTATATGTCTACGATCTGGATTTGAGTAAATTCAAAGGATTAATACTTCATTACTCCCATGGCCGTACGTAGAAGACTTTGAGCTTTGCGAGGCTTGACATCAAAACGAGGATAGTTTCCATGTGTCTTCTGTACAGTCTGATTGCGTTCTTTTGATCAATGGAGTTCAGCGCAAAAGGTGAGCAATTTTTATCTTTTCTTATCATTAACTTTTAAAATACGGCAAAGTAATAACATTCTCAAATAATCTCTTTGCAAACAAGCTTCTTAGATTATATTTTCATAGCTTTTGTTACTTTATCCAGAAATTGATGCCCTGGCCTAAATAAATGGTTAAGCTTATGTTAGACAACCATGCTGAGAAAAACATTTGTTGAAATATGAATACACAGTTGACAGTTTGTTTTGATTTGTAGGATGACTGAGAAAAATAATGTGAAAATATCTTAATGGCTTCGCCTTCAGCAACACCGTTTGGCTCACTTCAGAATCGGGCGGAATTTCATTCAAATACATGCTGCTTATGCCAAGAAATAATAAAAAAGTCTGAAAAAATACAGATTATTAAAGAAAAAGGGTGTGTATACAAAGGTTATTTTGTTCTAGTCTGGAATCTCGATATAACGAACTCCGGATTTAGCGAACTTCCTGGTATAATGCACTAAATGTCGGGTCCCTTGGATTCTGTCCTATATATGAAATAATTTTCTCGGTATAATGAACTCTCTGTGTAACGAACAGTTTTTATGTTCCCTTCAGAGCTCTTTATAACGGGATTCCACTGTTGATAATTTAATTCATTTCCTTAAAATCTTCTTCATACTTACCACGAATATCTTGAAAATCAATGATTTCTTTCCAGGCTTGATTCAATCAAAGAAAAGGCATTACAATGGAAAGACGTGACAAACCCACGACAATATGCAGTCAAATTTCCTTATGTATACGACGAATTGATGCGGTATCTTGACTCCGACGATTCAACAGTGTTAAAATGTCATACTCAGTGTCGCAAATACTTCGGGGATCAAAAGAAGCTAGAGGCAAATCTCAAGGATTCTGTCCTGGCTGAGAACGAATCTATGTCAAAATCTTTTGATGAGATGACGAAAACATCTGCCAGCACATCTGCAGCAAGTATCCCAATAACACGAAGTAAAGTCGTCCCGCTTCCATCACCAAGTGACCACGAGAGGAAATGCTTTGTTTGTAACAGAAAGAGGAAAAAATACCGAGGCCGTGAAGAAAGTTTGCTGAAGTTGCAAGAAACAAGAGCTGAAGCAACGTTGCTTGGTGTCATGGACGCAAACGAAAATTCAGATGACCCTGTACTGCACAGTGCTGCAAAAAGATTAAGGATACACCAAGCAGCGGGTGATCTCCTCGCCAGGGAACTTGAGTATCACAAAAGCTGTTATGCGCTTTTCACAGTTCGCCCTACAAATCCTCAGTCGAATGTTCCATTAGATACCATAAATGGTCAATGCGCAGAGAAAGAGTTCCTTGAAATAACCGAGAAGAAAGTCATTATTGGGAAATGTATTTTCGATATTGGTGAGCCTCAGTGGAAATGTATTTTCGAGTATTCCGGAAGATTTGGTGACAGAAATCGGCCCAAACCGCGAGAGTAAAATACGTGGGGGACCAATGAGAGGTGGCTACAGTACATCTCCGGAAAATGTTGATGAATTCTATAAAAACTCTCATAAACTGGCAAAGCTGAGGAGGCATGTGAAGGATCGGTTTCTCATCAAAACCTCAAGTGGTCACAATGAAACCTTCAGCGGAGCTAAAGCGCGGCACGAGAAACAAGTATCGAGCTTGATTGAAAAGTTGCAGACATATCATACCCCATTTGAAGGACCAGCACGCAATATATCAACAGGGATCGAGTTAGACCCAGCAATAGTGCAAGGGCTAATTGGAGCAAGGTCGGTTGGCGAAGAGATGCATCGCATTTTTTACACAGATCGTGTATTGTCAAATAAGGTAGACTTCTTTGCGCCAATAAAGAGGAGCACCATAAAGACAGGCCTTGAAAAGAAACAGAAAGCGGCCGCAAAAGCCTTATCTGTGCTGAGAGAAGATCGCCAGGCACTTGGTTTGATTGTAGCTAAGTGTCACGACAAACGAGAAGCATTTTCACATTGCCTAACGAAGTATCCCCTCGCAATATCAACACCTGATGGGAAATTGTATCAGCCCCACACAGAGATTATTTCACACATCTTTGGGTTCATTATCCATATCTAGTATTAGTATTTCTTCATTCTACATTTTGCAGTGCTTCAAGTTACAGGCACTGCAACCGTCTGCTATTTCCTAACTGATTCAGGATAAATTAGATCTTTGGCCCAAACCAATTAATGCACTGTGGTGTTGATATCAGAAATGTGTTAATATCTCCGAAACTAGTCTTAAATTCACCTATTTACATCTGTCTTGCCAATGTGTTATTACATTCTATTCTCTTCCAGGTCCGTATTATTCCATATTTTCTGCACTGTGCTATTCTCGGCTGCTGTTGTTCCGTGTTTTATTCTGAAAGTTTTTTCATTAGCAATGAACTTAGTCGAAACTACGAATCATCTTTGCTCATGTCTATCGATCTCAGTCGTTTCCAACCCTCACCGGTGATTTTCAACCTTTGATCTCTTCAAGATTTTTATCAGAAAAAAACATATTCACAGTTTGTTATATATTTTTCCCGTAAATTTGTTATCATTAAATTGATTGTTTATGAGATACTTTTCCACTATTCATACATTTTCACCGATACTAACTATACTGCTGATAATTCTGAAGCCTGTATTTAGCTGCTGCAAAAGCCTCATAACTTCTATTAATCAAATGAAATTAGTAAGTTATAATTTATTACCAATTCCAAATCCATATACCTTCTTGATTATTTTTTTTAATCATTCTGAAGATTTTGATAATCATGATATATTTTTTATTCCTCTTCTACGAGCTTGTAACTAATTTTTAGCATTTGTTATTCTCTTCAATTAATTTTTTCCACCCATATACCACTCCCATATTCCACCTCCAGATCCCATTTTCTAATTCAAATTTTTATCATTCCCTTCTCCAATTTAAGTACTAATATTATCATATTAACATTCCGTATGGCATATCATTGTTTGAATATTTGCAGAATTTTTCATATGGAATATAATTTAAAGCCATAGCATGAGAAAGTTAACTAGAGACTGTAGAAATATTAAAACATGGAAACAAAAAACAGTGGATATATATTAACTCTGACATTAATGAAGTTAAATATAGAGCAATAGAGTTAATTGTTAATATATTGTTGAATGTATAGAAAAGTTCACTGGTAGCTAGGTTCTTGCTCGATCAGGCTCATAGGATTTCTTACGAGGAAATAGTCGACTAAAAATGTACAAATTAAATACACGCATATATTCGTCGATGCATTAATACAACTAATTATGTATACATAAGTAAATCAGTGATGTATATTTCGCCCGTGTCATTACTGGGTGCTTCATGATAGCAAAAAAACTTGTTATTAATATATTTGAATATGTCTAATAAGCTGGTCATTTGAATGTAGCACATTGGATTTGTAGCAGTATTGCTCAAGTATGTAGATCTACTCAAACAGTTCAGACAGGATTGTTTATATTGTCTGTCTAATGCGAAAACACATTCTATCTGGAATTCGTCATAACAATCAAATTCCATTCAAAAATCAGTTAGAATTAATTATTATTGTGATATATTCTGCCTAGATATAAAAGAAATTATAGATGGATGAATAATGATATTGGATATCTAGATGAAGTAGGTGGGAAATCAGGTTAGTCCATTATCTAAGAGTATGCTTAGCAAGAACGATCATCATGAAATTGGTCATCGCAAGGGTGGACATATCAATCGGGATAAAAGCAAACCATGTCTGGCAAATCGAATGATATTAGACTTGATAATACTAAATATTGCATACTGTTAATTTAGGGGATATCACAGGTAGTATGAGAATAAAAAATATCTCGAATTGTTGCGGAAGAGTTCTTGATGATCTGCATAGGCTGAAGTGATCTGATATGTCTTTTGATGAGTGGTCTGCGGCATGAACTAATCATTGTCTGACTGTAGGTTCACTCCGCAGCTTGGAGAAAACATGATAGTCGCAGTGCATTCTTGGCGTGACGTTAGATCAGGTGCTTATTGTCAAGTGTGTATACTTTATATCCTAAAAGTTAAGTGGTTTTTGCCCGACTAATTAAAAATATGAATTTTTTTGAGGAATATTTCGAGTCTGCTATATGCTTTTAAAACACTCAGGAAACTGTAATTTAAATCTGAAAAAGTTGACGCTGAATTAAATATCGGACTTTCGGCTCATTATTGATTAGAGAAACATATCTAATTGCTTATAATCAGGATAAATAGAATGCCCCATATGCTTCAATGGAAAATGAGCAGCTGGGTCATTCCGCGTAAAATTCTTTTCCAATTATGATTACAAGAAGTGAGTCTATGACTATGGATCCTTAATCCACATTCCATTTGGATTATGTAGCTATCATCTTCTTTTTTCTATTTATTTTTAGAACCAGTTAAAATTTTAATTTCAGGCTGACTGTTTCTTAAGTTTTTTCGAGAATCTGTTATACTTAATTTGGTTCTTAAATTTACTATGTTGTAATACAGTGGCGGTTAGCTAGCTTTTTTCGCTCTAGGGAGGTGTTCAGGGCTCATTTGCCAACGAAGTGACGGAGACAACCTCCCCTTTACAGGCAATTTTGATAGTTTACCGAAAAAACCCACACATGGCTAAAATCCGCGAATACAAGAATAAACATTGTTCAAAAATTGCATTTTTACAGTAAGCCTCAAGACTCATCTTGTCTGCATTTGTTCTTAACTTTTTTTGACCAATTATGAGAACTCGTGTTCTTATAAAAATTGTTCTTGATAAGAGAGCGGGTAGGTTTGATTCCTTTTAAGGAATTATCTGTATTTTACGTATCTTCAACAATACTCGATTGAAAACTTGTATATAAGGGGGCTTGACGTGAATATCATATATCGGAATTGCGAGGGCTTTTTAAAAAAGTATTTTGATTGACATATCATTGATGAGTATAAACCATTATAAATTTAAATGACTTTATTTGCATCTGAAGTCAACAGAGGTACGCAGCAAAGGGTTTTCCAGTCAAAAACAATCTGTCACAGCTACTTCAAACACATCTAGCCAAATATAAATGTATCATACATAATGTTAAGGATTGTTGTATTTTGCAAACAGTTCTGCATACAACTATTAAGATGATGTGGTGTAGAGTAAGATTTAGCATTTCATCATGGCTCACGTTGCTTCAAGAACTAGCAAGAGACTCTTTAAGTCTCTGCTGCCCGAGTATAGATTGTTCAAAAGCTTCAGCGTGATTCTGAGAGAAAGTGATGGGTACTCGCGATATCTGGAAATGGAAGAAATTCATTTTCAATCTGAGCCTCCCACGTGCTGCTCAAAATTAGCGTTACTTTTACTGACAAATCGTGGGGTTGCAGTGTATGGGGCTGGGGCAAGGGGGCTAAGCAGGGCTCGGGAAGCAGGGTAATGTCAATAATGTCTTTTTGCCATTGCTTTTTTAAGATTTTTTTTGCACCCAGTTGCTAATTGTTCATTCTAGAAACTACCATCCTTGATACAAGGTGGTTTATTTGGCCTCTCCTCCTGGCGACTTTGGCAGTCCGAAATGATGCTCTCGGTGCAAGAGCTGTCAGACAAGCTTTAAAAATATCATTTTAAAAACTATAAGTATGTTTAAATTCGATAGAGAGAAGCTTTCATGCAGTAAGAGAATCCAAAATTGTGTACCTTTAATTCTCGCAAAGTATATTTCCTTTGGCAATCTACCTGGTGTAATGAAAAATGAAAGATAATATTTTTCCGTCTTAACAAAAGGAATACATAAAATATGGTGGAAAACACATAGAAGATCTAATTTTGAACAATAAATTCATGGGATCAGATTTCTGTGAGCTCGAGCAAACAGATGTTTCTTAGAAACACACCATGAATGTAAAAGACAGACTCTCGATACCATACCAATAGCGTTTGGTATCCCATGGCTTCTGCTTTGTAGTCAATTCATGGGAAATATATACAATGCTCTCAAAATGGGGGATAATATGATGGGATGATTTATCTTTTCGCCAATGCCTCAACTACTAATGAAAGGTGTAATAGAGAAAAAGAAAGTTAAATCAAGAATTGAACAAGAACATTCATATCTAAGGCCGTTACATCTCCAGAAACATCCCACTGAAAACCAACACTTGCACAGAGAGCTGTCTGGTTCAACGTAGATTCGTTTCTGGTAGTCGACCAGGGACTTTTTCAACAATGAGAAATAAAGGGACGACAGGCTGTTAAAAGCAATTGAAGCATTTAAATACGGAATACTTTAATTAGATTTGAGTAGAAGAGCTTCTAAAACGTCTAAAATACAAACCTTTGCTATTATTTGACCATTGATTCCTTCATGAAAACACTCGCTGCCAGCTCATTCAAAATCGGGGTGAATTGCTTGCAGTATTTACACCTGAAATAATCTGGAGATCCATCAAAAATTTTAGATTAAGCTTCAAGGATTCAGAGAACAGTTTTTGCTTTGTGTAGCATACAATCAAGGTGCATAAGCAGATATCTCAATAAAAGTCATTAAGACCCTGTTTACACAGGAAAAATGGGGACTGATCCAGTTTGGGTGATCCAAAAATTCGCAGAAGATTTACACTGGATCGATCCAAAATATAATATAACTTGTGTTTACATGGATCGATCCAAATCGGACAGCACTGGCTTTCTAGACCTTTTGAAAGAAATGTTCATGCGTAATTTGGTTTCTGCAATCAGACATCACAAGAAAATACGCAAATCAGAGTTTATGCTTCAGAAAGGGATATAGCGTTATTAACATTTGAATGATAATTATAATAATTATCTTCAAAAAACCAATGTTTGCGTCTAAGCCCTGTAGAAAGTTTACTGTCTTTATAATTAAAATTTGGTTGAAATTCTTATCAGTAAATAATGGAAGTTAGTTTTATTTAGTTCACCTATGCTCAACGAAATTATATTTTGATCAAAATTTTAAACCAACTAAAGCAAATATTAAAATTTCCTTGGAATGCATCAAATAAACAGAGTGACCCA